ACGAACTTTTAGCGGGACACGCGCCGTTTGAGGCTAGCGATCAGCCCGACACGTACCAGAACATCTGTCGAGGTGCTGAAGCCGTGAGCTTCTCCAGTTACGAAGACCGAGATCCAGACGCTGTCGATCTAGTGAAATCTCTACTAGCAGAGCATTCCAACGACCGATTACCAATGAAGGGCTTGCGTAGTCTGCGACTGCACAAGTGGTACGCGCGATTCGAGTGGGAAGCGTTGTACCAGTTCACGATGCGGCCACCACATCTCCCGAGGGTTCGATCCGTCACGGATCTGAGTAACTTCAGAGCGCAAGAGGCAGACCTGCCTCCTCCGATCAGCTACCAAGACTCTGTGCATGACGCATGGGATCAGGACTTCTAGAACTGTGGTGTGTGAGGTTGGTTCTCGGACGATAAGGCCGTTCGTGTGTGAGGTTCCTTCTTCTAGTTTTTCAGTAAGAACCTACTCACGAATTTTAGTTATAAATGAGTAAAACATCTGAGATAGTTGTTTACCGTGATAAATCAAAACGTTAGCATAGTTAGCAATATCACCTAGCAAAACATCAAATCATTTCTTTTCGTCTTGACATATAGCATTTATTGGAACATTTACATTTTAGCATTTTAGTAGTTGTTAGCCTCCAAGGGGGCAGAAGAAGCGCGTTGAGGAAATTCTGGAAAATTTTGATGAAAGCGAAATGAAAAGACGACTAGCAGGCCTATGACGAACGTTGTCGTTGTATCATCTAAGAAATACTTATTACAATATTAACGTTGCAGTACCAGTACTAGGTGCTTGTGTCATCTGGGGGCCTGTCGTGTCATCTAAATTTTCTGGTAGCTTGTATCGTCGCATGTTTTGGCCTTGTGGTTTCTTCTCTCTACGCACGCTCTTACTGATAGTTAGAAATAACTCCGCATGAGTATGTTCGTTGTTTCTTTTCGCTTCGTAGTTTCTTATCACATAGACAACTCCTTCTACGTCAGAGGCATACTCTGACGAGAAGTGAGCAACTGCTAAAAGTAAAACACTAGAATATATTTATAAGGCTATTACGTACTGAGAAAGATGAAAGAAAAATGCAGCTGCAGGCAGCTTTTTGCGCCTAGTAAGCAGTTGAAGGTAGATCGCCTCTAGCAAAATATCATTGGGGTGAATAGATACCAAGGAAAGCGACCTTTTCCGAGGATGGTAGGCTCTCCTTCGTTTTTAGCACAAACAGAAACTGCATTTAGGTAGAAAGATCTTCTACGTCCTTGGTTATCTTATTAATTTCCATTCACATGATTCAAGGAGGCTAGTACCAACCATGTTCCAGTTACTTTCAATTCCAGTACCAACATCCACATATGAATCCCAGTTAGAATACGGCTTTCTTCTTAGTTCGTGAGTATTGCTATTGGCTCACTCATCTTGCCCGCGAGAATAAAAGTGACTCACTCTCGATCTAGTTCGTGTCCTGCTAGGCTAAAGTGTATAGAGTTATACTCGTGCCCCACCTCGTCTGCTTAAAATTTCTGCCTTTCACTTCTAGCTAGTTGTTAGCGTCGCGTCAGTCATTTCCCGTGCCGTCTTCTGCTTAAGTTCCTTGGCACTGACAACACTTTCCAAAAACGTAGCCCACTTGTTGCGAGCAAGAATGAATGAATGAAAGTTGAGGGAGCACGTCTCTGTATGCACGACTGATGGTGCAGGCTGTGAGCGCGTGCTTGTGCTGGTAAAAAAATGTGTGCTGTGCAGAAAATCAAACAGTCTTCTTGTGCTCATTAGAAGGATGATGGCATGCCACTGTGAACAAGCATTAAGCCGGCACTTTTACCTACAAGCGATCAAAGGGGAGAAGCACCGTGTTGAACCCTCAGTGTTACGATTGGTTCTGTAGTAGAGCCTGGCTGCGAAGGTGTCTTGAAGGGTTTTTTGTTTTGACGAATGTTGCACCCGGTCAGGGTCTTTTCGACCGGAAAATCTTGCAGTGGCAGACGCCTCACTGGTTTATCGAGATGATGGCAGAAGATAATATCGGGAAGTCGAAAAGGAACTTTAATTCGACTTTTCTCGCTGCTTTTGAAGGACTTGAACAAAAAGAAGCGCATGCTTTTGGGGAGAACGTTCGAAGGCCAAAGGGGACGCCGATTGCCCAAGATGTTCAGAGATAGGAGTAGGAAGACTGGGGACACAACGTCAACACATTCCCGTTAAGAGGATATTGATAGTGTTTGAGGGCTTCCTGTTTCGGATCTCTCACAGCCTCTTCGTGCGAGAGACTCTATGTTAAGCTCGGCGATCATCCACAACTAGTAGTGCATGAGGAGTAGCGATTAAACAGAGTAAATTGCGCAGCATCGTTCTTCTGAGCGAAAATGGGCTGATTTGTGCAAAATTGAGGCCCAAATTCCGTCTGCTCTGGCGTAACAATACGTCTTGCCAGACTTTACGTAGAAGTGCGTACTGTTGCTAACAGCTACCCGATTCCAAGGGAGTTAGGAAAGCGGCTATGAGAGGGAAAGTTTCTCCGAAAGAAGATATGGGGGATGAAGAAGAAGGGTCTGAGAGGCGATGGTACTCGGATAAATGGCGATGTCGAAGGAGAAAGTTTGAGGAGTGAGAGAAAGTTGGTGAGACAAGAGGAACGGTTTGCCACTTGTACGATGAAAAACCCGCTATCAGTGTAATTTAACGACACCCTCAGTCCGAAGAGAGCAACAAGTCTAAAAAAGCCGTCTTCCTTCGGAGGACCTTCCCCTCTCATAGCCGCGTTCCTCCCTTGGAATCGGGTAGCTCTTAGCAAGGGTACTAAAGCGGCTATGAGAGGGAAAGGTCCTCCGAAAGAAGACGGCTATCTCCACGACAAACCTCGAGGTGCAGATGCGCGTCTTAAGTAACAGCCCATTTCGGGGATACCAGGAGGAGCGGGCCACCTGGGCGCTACGGTGCATGTTTTCGTGGGTTAGGTGGTGACGCAACTATGCGGAAAACTCGGTTATGTACAAAGCTGTGTGGAAGACACCGCGGATTTCTCGGACCGTCCACGGCTCTCTCCATACTCCGAAAAATCCACAGTGTCTTCCTCACAGTGATATGGGGATGAACTCCATACCACCTTTCTCTCCACCTTTCTCTCACTCCTCAAACTTTTTCCTTCGACATCGCCATTTATCCAAGTGCCATCGCCTCTCAGACCCTTCTTCATCCCCCATATCACTGTGGATTTTTCGGAGTATGGAGAGAGCCGTGGACGGATTTGGGAAGGTGCGGAACAACCCGGCAGCATCACCATGCCTTTATTCACAGCACGTAGCACATGCGTGATTTGGTGAGATGGTGGAAATTTAGAAAGATGCGTCTTTAGGTGCCTTAGGCTTTCTGACATTTACAGTTAACAGTGCCGCAGTCGAGACTGACTTCGGCTCTTGTCATGGTTCATGGAATGACGCTTGGCGAGAAATTATGGAGGAACTGTTGGCATTGTTGCTGGGCGTGATTGATACGCATGGCGCTGAAAATCCCTTTCCCATGGTGGGAGAAGTAGACGGCTTTTTACAACAAGTTTTCTGACATATGCGATGGACCTGAGCTGTGACTGACGCGGTGTGCCACGCCGAGCCCGTGTGGGATGCTAGAAGGAAGCGCGGATGATTGGGAGTGCGGTGCATTTTATGGCTTTTCAAGGCTTCTTATGATGGACTTGTTGGTATTCTCTCTGTCGTCTAAAGAGCCGCGTAAGTTTTCTTATGGAAATTTCTCTGTTTTACCGACACACACGAAGATCTGAAGAAGAAACGCTGCCGGAGATCATTATTTAGATCTCCTATCTCGAAGTCGCGGTCAGAGAAGGGAGAAATTTTAGTATTAGAATTTCCATGATGAGAGTATACCGCTCTTCGCGAGCTGTCATTTGGCAGTTTCCTGAGCGCAAGAAATCAAAAGTAACTTTTCTGCCTGAAGAGCGTTCTCAAAAGATATTTGATTATACCCGTAGGTGAGGCATGTGAATGTTCAACCAATTCTTTGGTGAGGTTTGAAACGATCTACTTGTCCAGCCAGTGAGGGAAAATGGAAAAAACTTGGAGAAATGTCTAGGTTGCCTGTCTTGATTTTTCAATCATTTTAACAATGTCTAGTGTTGAAGGATCCAAAACCATGATGACAGCATACCACTATCTCACTACAGGATCTTAGATTCTGGTTGTGTGCGATAAAAACAATGTAACTTTTCTGCCTGACAACGAAATTTGACGGTGACCTGATATCTAGTCTTTGAAAATTATACTGATCTGTGGATAGGCTTCCTCTTGAACAAGGTATTGGCTCGATGCTTTGTCTGTGTGACCGTGTATCATCTCAAGATCTAAATTTACCAAATTTCGCCAAATCTAAAGTCCACTGAAAAGAAGGTCACACGCGGAAAGACCACAATCTAAATTCAATTGCACCGTGGATCCAGCGATCGTTGAAAATAGGCATGTCAAGAATTTCCAGTATGTCTCTGATCTCTCTCTTGCGCAGAGTGTCCCTTAGAAAGAACTCCAGCTCCATCTACGAAGATCTTCTGCAAAAAAAGACGCAAACTCTTGCAAATGACCACACGACACAACACAGCCAAGATCATCAACTCTTTCACGACTTTAGAGCTTTACGACTTTAGAAAGAAGCAAACTGTTCACGAGATTTTACCCAATGATCTTTCGTACAACAACAGGGAAATTTAGACACAAACCTTGCAAAGGGTTTAGGTTCTTGTGAGGAGTAGATCCCCTAGTACCAGACACCACAAACAGTAGTCAAAATGGGTCGTCGTCCGAATAAGTGCTACCGGTACTGCAAGAACAAGCCGTACCCGAAGTCGCGCTTTTGCCGAGGTGTGCCGGACCCGAAGATCCGTATCTTCGATACCGGTTCCAAGAAGGTCGANGAAATTTAGACACAAACCTTGCAAAGGGTTTAGGTTCTTGTGAGGAGTAGATCCCCTAGTACCAGACACCACAAACAGTAGTCAAAATGGGTCGTCGTCCGAATAAGTGCTACCGGTACTGCAAGAACAAGCCGTACCCGAAGTCGCGCTTTTGCCGAGGTGTGCCGGACCCGAAGATCCGTATCTTCGATACCGGTTCCAAGAAGGTCGACGCCCATGTCTACCCTTGCGCTGTGCACATGGTATCAGTTTTTTATTTTTGTTTTTCTCGCAACTGGTTGAGGCTTATCTAGTCCCTTATTGAATGAAGTCCTTGTTACAAGATCTTCCTGTAAGACGGATGTATTTCGAAATTTACAAAGACCAGTGCTGACCAGCGTGTGTTTGAAGGATGACAACCTTATTCGGACTAGAGTTTTCGAGCTCTAGGGCTGTGATATCAGAACAATGAGTCTGACCTCACTCGCAAGAGCACCATTCCATTGACTCGATCTTAGCATATCTAAATAGGACGTGATAGTCTAGGACTAGGCCGTTGTGCACTAGAAGACTTTTGTGCTGTACGCTAGTTTTAGATGTTAGTCCGTTGTAGATGTTAGTCCAGGAGACGCCGCAGTAGGTAGCGGCTAAAGCATAGTGCTCTCTCCAGGGATGACACCCTTATTCGGGCTAGAGTTTTCGGTTCGATTGTTGAACAATATAGTGTGTAACTTCAGATAGTGTGTAAATCCGGAAGATGTTTCTGGAATTCTTTCTTGTAACTTGAAGTTAAAAGCATGTTCTCACTTCTAGGTCTCCGACGAGAAGCAGCAATTGAGTATGGAAGCTTTGGAGGCTGCTCGTGTCGCAGTGAACAAGTACATGGTGGTGAACTGCGGTAAGGACACCTTTCACATCCGTGTCCGCCCTCATCCGTTCCACGTGCTTCGTGTGAACAAGATGCTTTCGTGTGCCGGTGCGGATCGTCTGCAGACCGGTATTTTTAGACTTGTTGCTCTCTTCGGACTGATTAGCGGGTTTTTCATCCTACAATTTGCAAACCGTACCTCTTGCTTCATGAACTTTCTCTCTCTCCTCAAACTTTCTCCTCCATCGCCATTTATCCAAGTAGCCTCTCCTCTCTCACAATGCCCTCTTTCACACATCCCCCTCTTTCACATCGTCAGGTATGCGTGGCGCGTTCGGTAAGACGTACGGCAAGGCTGCTCGCGTGGACATTGGGCAGATTTTGATTTCGGTGCGCTGCAAGGACGACAAGTGCCACCACGCCATCGAGGGTCTGCGTCGTGCCAAGTTCAAATTCCCGGGTCGCCAGAAGATCCACGTTTCCCACAAGTTCGGTTTCACCAAGTTCCTCCGCGAGGACTACGCCAAGTTCCGCGCGCAGGGCCGCCTGATCCCGAACGGCGTTGACGTCAAATGGTTGTCCTCTCGTGGACCCCTCTCCCGATTCATCAACAAGGCCTAAGAGGATCATCTCTTCTTGGATGAGAACTCTTTCTTGGAGTAGTAGTGATCATCTCTTCTTGTGTCAGAGTGTAGCGGTACCTTCTTTTGGAGAAAAGCAACGAGGGGGGTGAACTACTACTAGTAGTAGTAGCTTCTTCTCTTCAAACTTGTTGTTCGGGTGCTGAACGAATGCGCTGGGGAGCAGAGCTTCTGCTCTTCAAAGTCCTTGGAGAGAATCTTCGGAGAAAGCAGGGATGAGACTTTTCTGTCATGTGTACTACTGACGGTTTAGTCCTGCTCACATTCAATTATGAGATTTCCAGGACATGCTTTGTGGAGGTTTCTCTCTGGATGGGGTACGGACAAGCGTTGAACAGGACATGTAGCAGAATGTATGGGGATCTACAAAAAAGCGAGGACACGCCTTTTCGTGGCCGTGTGCGCAATATGCAGGGTGTTGGATATGTTTTTTCTTGTATCGTGTTCATTCTCCTTGCATAACTAAGAGAACATCAGTCAGCAGGTTTCTGTCGTATGCGCGATTCCGAGAGAGTGCTTGGAATCTGTGTGTGAAATTGAATGTCAAGCATTCCCGATCCTCTTGGTGAGAGAAGGCTGCATTTCTGTCGCACAGCATTCCAAAGCAAATGAGCAATGAAAATATGCACCATTGCCCACCTCCCAACATTGATTTAATCCTATACACCTTTCCGACTATGTATCAAGGAGTTGATCGCCCACCCTCATTTAATCCTATACACCTGTCCGACGATGTCTCGAGCATCTTGACCATACTCTTCTATCGCTCATGATATATGGTTTGCTTTCTCTTTTCCGTTCACATGGAAACTTTCAACCTGAATGCCTTTCCTCTAATTCCTTTCGGCTTAGGCTGTCAGTTTATGCCACCGGAAGTCCCCAGAGGAAGTAGAAGAAATAGCATGCCGCAACTTACCCTCCCTCTACTATAGGATGCGGTACCTTTAAGCAAGCTTGCAATTGAAATTTCGAGCTCGATCGTTGGACCTGTAATGGGTATTGTAAGGACGCAGGCTTGGGATAAGTTAGATCCATCTTCTATGTGCTAGTTGTATAAAGGTATTTGAGTCGTGATTTCCATAGAGGTTCACTTCCATCTATGTACTATGTCGCATGATGAGTCTTACCCCCAAAAAAGAGAATAAGTCGAATCCGAAGATTAGGTGACGACTTCCAATGGTACTAAGCATTCTGACGCGACAGTTGTTGAAGCCGATCGTTGTTACTTAGCACTCTATCAAGCTGACCGTTACTAACAAGCATCATTTATGTCGCCGGCAAGTCAGATCCAAGCCTGCCGTAGATCCTCGCTCCATTATTTCCAAGATCACCAGTCACATCAACAATCGTATAGGATCCTCTAAAGTGTGCAAATCAATTGATGGTCCTAGATCACCCAATAAGGATCCTGAATTTCATGAAGGTTGCCTGTAATGATGACATCCTAAGTTCAGTTCTGCTTCTGATGAGCAGTGATGAACCTTAAACCATTTCATCTCTCATCGCCCTGACAAGAGGCAACTGTATCACACCAATTAAGTTTCCTACACAAGGGTCCCGACTCGGCTCCACGTGTCTAGGTTGTTGTAAAAGACTAAGTACTATCGCCTCAAGAAGCTTTAATAAGTCCACTTATCACCACTGTCTGTTTTGCGCGTCTAGTTGCACCCTCATTTCTTTGGTTTTTTATACCTGAGGGTGTTGGTATGGCGTCGCTAGACTAGAATTGACACACCTTGCGACCCAAAGGAGGCTTTGTTCTATGTCTCACATTTGGTACTACTGTGTTGAACACTAGGACACTTCATAGATTTTTGTTAGAATGAAAGGAGTTTTAGTTCGGGCTTCTCTTATGATGATACACTTCCAACACCCTTTTTCCGATGCTCATTGCGGTGGGGTTTCCAACAATCAACTTTAATATACCCTGATCGATTTAGTAAAGCCAGCGGACTCTCGTTTGTACGTCGCGTCTATTGTAAGGAAGATGTACACGTACAGCACTAAGCCGTTACTGTATCACCATGAAGCCTTGTTGCACTTTGCAAAATACACTCTGTGCCTCGATCGTTTTTCTCGCGAGGAAACAATTTCCACTTTTGCTAGATGGATATTTCACTGAACCAATCATAGCTTCGCGCAGCTTCGTGAAGTTTCGAAGGGTCTGGTGAGGACACACCGTGTTGCCAACTGGGATTCCTGTTTCTGTTTATGTGAGTTTCGAATGCTAAACTTCTAATAATGCCCTCTCACCAAGCTTTTGTGTAGATGGGTAAGAGTACTAGCCAGTGTTACGATCCGTGTCGTCTAAATTTAGCCCTAACCTGCGACTCTACTACTATCTTGTACTCTAGTGGACGTTTCTCTGCTACTTCTGTAGAACATTCCACTATCTCGTATATCATTACTCTAAGTAGTAGATATTTTCGCGCCAGTTGTTGTGATGGAAGTTACCACAATAAAATAGAATAATGTCTACCACATAGTGCCCGATCAGTATGCGAGTTACCCGCGTACTAGTCCCCTCTCGTGGGATGGCTGTCGGGGTCTTTTTCTGGTCTTGGAATATTACGATAGTAGGACCCCTCGACCGCGGGTTTCTGTGAGACGGACCTCTAGAGCTCTCCCTACACTGCACATCGAGACTCGACACTCCCTGGGACAGCCTTATTCGATAGGCTTAGGATCCCTCCTTTCGTTGATCTACACTCATTGTGTCATCAATTTGTAGTATTTGATACTAGCAACATAGCATCCAGAATCTTTCACCTAGCGCTGGTGTATACTACGGCTACTGCCTTGACTTCATTAGGTAGTCGACGGAGTGACCTATGTCTTTGACTGCCTACCTGATTAGTTTCTGGGCAGTCCTTTGTACGATGACTACTCTGTTTGTCTTTCGCCTCTAACTGAGAAGTTTCTCGTGCGGAGTACATAACCTCTAAGAAGTTCTGATGCCCCTCTTAGCTGTGATCGACCTGCTGTGTCTCGCGTCTGCTGCGGCAGACCAGTTGTAGCTCATGAAAATCTGCAACATCCTGGCTGTAGGAAGCGATGAAGTGGAATAGTTTATAGACTGCTGGCGCGGTTGAGGATAAACTCCAGCTCCCTCTGGAGTCCACATGCGTATCCAGGATGACAAAAACTTTCGCCTCTAACTGAGTGGGCGTTCAAGCTCATCTCCAATGAGGATCGAAACAACCTCTAAGAAGTACTGACAAAGCTTGGCCTTTCTTGCGCGTTGCGGTCTCTCGCCCATCTGGCCCCGTGTTGACTGTCAATCTGGGCACCTGCCTACACGCGCACGTCCATACTGCTTCTTGCTGCGTTTCCTTTATATTCCTTTTCTTCATGCCTTTTCTTCATGCCTCGTAACTCGCGGATCCGCTTGACGCCTAACGCTTTCCCTCACGATGACATCGCTACTTCACAAACTTTAATATACGCTCTGACGTTTTGTGAGGAACCAAATACTGGCACCAGTCTGAACTGTTTACTGCGTGTCCCATTCACCTTATAGCTCCGTTGAGTCTAGTTTAACTAGGTCCTCAATAGCTGCGTAAATGCATTTTCTCACTGGGGCTACTGTACTAGTAGCTAGTGGGGTCTCGACGGCTCCGGAATGGTTAGTTGTAGCTAGTAGCAACTACTAGAATCTTGTTGGCTTTGTAGTCTAACTAGTACCTAGTAGTAACCACTAGTGAGAACTAGTGCCTTGCTCTCGTCACAACGACGTGCGTCACACCTATCATGATGATCAACGTTTTTATCTGTCAATCCTCTGATTGTAAGGGATGACAAACCAAAACATTAAAGACTACGACGGTCTGACATTGATTAGAGGCTAAAACCCATATAAACAGTTTCACATATCTCCACACGATGACAAAGCTTTCGGACTAGAGTTTTTGAGCTCGGTCTATGATCTTATAATGGTAATTTGCGCCTGAAGGAGATTGAACACGAATAGGATGTTGACTAAGCATTGGGCGTTGATTGAGATTGATTAAACAATCTAGATGATATTGCGTACAAATAGGATGTTCATTGATCTAGATCATGACTATGTTGTATCAGACTTTTCTGTCGATGAGGACTGTCGTGTCAGTCTAGTAGACGCACAGGTGTAAGATAAAAAAGTTTGTTATGTATCAATTTTGTTATACAAGCGATCCTGTAGTGTTTAGTCGTAGGGGCGATGCGGGATGACAAACTTTTCGGACTAGAGTTTTTGAGCTTTGTGTCCATGATGTTTTACAGGTAATTTGCGTCTGATTTTGCCCTAGATGTTATAGCTCTAGATGTTATATAGCTTCGCTTTACTTGATTTCTTCGCAAGAACGAGTCATCTCTATTGTTTTGTCCATGGAAGAGTGGTTCATCTAGAAATTTCGCTATCTTTCCACGGATAGGGACGAGAGGTTTCGATATATCCGATTTCTCCATCAAAGTCCGTGGTACAGCATCACGCTCTTAATCTCCTTTTCTAAGTGTCCAAAGCTGGCTGTTGTTTTTCGACAAAGGGGACGAGTGGACACTCTGACCAACTATAATACTGTGAAGGGCGTCCTTTGCTTGCCACCCTCTGCTGGTTTGCTACCTTTTGGCCAAATTCCCTATTTCTTGCCGCTATCTGACAGCTAGATTTTTTTGCCTTTTTTGACCGTAGAAGTGCCTTTTTTGACCGTCAGGCACATCTGACCCGATCATCTGCGTCTATTTTCACGCGATCCCCGGGCTCGTCCTTTCACGCGTCCGTTCGTGCGGCAGTCTTTCATCCCCCATTTTCACGAGCGGGGCTTCTTCGGAAGAAGTTTGTGGGATCAAAGCGCTCCGCCGAAGAGAAATACGCAGCATCTCCAACTCCCATGATGAGTCAAATAAAAAAGAGAATAAGTCGAAACTTACTGGAAAGTTTTCCAGGTTGACGACTCCGCTTAAGCATCCCCATCTGATTGGTAGCAGTATGTATCCTCACAGGGGTTTTTTTTTTTTTTTTTTTTTGGTTTTTTTAATTTTTTTTTTTTCTTGGTTTTTGTTTTTTTTGGGTTTGGTTTTCTTGTTGGGGAGGCCATGGAGTGGTCTCATATTTGTGCGTGGATGTACGTATTCCGAACTTCCTATGTCTGTTGTTCGTGTCCGTTGGATTGTATAATAGATGGCATTCAATTTGAGGCAGCTTCGATTGTGACGCGGTTCATCAAGAGTGAAACAATGAATTCAATATCATGTCGTTGAGGACTTCCAATGCAGCTCTTTCCTTTGTATACTTGCAACTCCGGAGAGTCTGGGTCTTCGAGTGGGCTGATAGCTTACTAGAAATTTTTGTTCGATCGTTGAAATCGATCGTTGAATCTCACGTAGTGCGGATTTCGGAGATCAATTCGTGTGTTCTTTTGACTGTCGTTAGCCCGTTCGGGTAGTTTGGACATCGATGTGTGGAATGAAGTTGATACTGATATTTGAACGACAGTAGAGAGATACTGATATTAGCGAGAGATAGTGAATGTTTAGACGCGAAGAAAGTGAATGTTACTAGAGAAAAAGGATAATAACTGGAGAACACCGAGAGCGACGTGATGTCTGTCATAGATTTCGGTCCGAGACAGACGTGAGGTAGACATTCTGTCATATCGGGCCAACTACCATGACCTTGACATGTTGAGCGATAGCGGCATCGTTCATTGGGTATCGCCTTTGATAGTATCGACCACTTCACTGGGTACACTATTTCGTTTGCATGTTCATCGACCATTGACCCAATCAATCGTCAACTTACATATCCTTCATAAAACCAAGAACTCACAGGAAAAAGAAGAGAAAAATCACAA